GAATGCATGTCGCATACCATCGAATGGTCGATTGACTTTTGGCTTTTCCCATCTTTTACCTGATTTCCCAGAATTTCCTCAATCTCCCACATTATTTGCTTTCCAGACGGTTGTGCAATATGCTGTTACAACGCTTCGTAATCTTCTAATGCATGTGGATACCGTCAAGGCGCAGGCACGTGTCCTAGGAGCAATAGAAGCTCTCGCGCCGTTGCTTCTCAGAAATAATTGGAAATTCTTGGCATTGGTTGCTGACAGTCTCTACTTTCTCCTGCTTGGTGAGAAGCATACAAGTTTTATTATATTTTCACTTTATGGTGTAAGGTAAAATAAGTCTTCAATGGGACAATGTTTTTGTTGAGCAAGTAAAGGTTCGCTTCAGTACACTTTTGTGAACGTTGTTTAAGGACAGGATGAGGGCCATTCTTTGTCCGACATTACTCACTTTATTTTTTTTACTTTCGTATTTGCCTGAGTCAGAAGGGTGATAAGAAAGCTGCGAGGTGAGTGAGCCAATCTTATGTTTGGTAATCCCATTTGGTCGAGGTTTCTGCATGGGAAATCCCTTGGCTGTCTTCATAGTCTGCAACGGGAGAACAGGAGAATCGAGGGAGATGAAAGTTTTTTGGATCTACTCGGGTGGATGGAAGGCGGAAGTCCTTTTTTGTGGGGGGGGGGGGGGCATTCGAAGGACTCTCCGTACAAGACTGGGCTTTCCTAATAGAGCTAAGCACTTTTGCCGAAGCCTACGGATGATCTATGGTGGGTGAGCCAATCTCATGTATAGTAATCCCGCATGGATTAGATTATCTTAGTTTGAAGTCTTCTGATCTGCGAGAAGGAGAATCGGCAAATTGGCTTTTGGGAGAGTATGCGCAGAAGAAGAGGGTAGTTTCGACGAGCGCCGGTTGCTCATAATCTGACGTTTTGGTAGAGAGTTCTTTCAGAGCATTGATTAGTTCTTTCTCCTACTCTGCTCTTCTCCTGTCGCAAAGTATGGGCGCATTCTTTGATGCTCTCAAATGCGCTTGCCCACCCCCTCCTTCTCATGAGCGGTGGGTGTGAAAACTTATTCCTGCACACCCACAGCTCTGCGATTTTTTTCGAAATATTGTATCCAAATGCAGGCCTTAGTGTGACATCACCTAATTTTCTTTTATTTATTATGCTTACAAAGTGTGTTCATCAGAGATATTTACATTCGTTGGAAGGCAATAGTTTTCATCATCATCGGCTCCTTCATCAATCTTATTATCTTATTTCAGATGATCCGCAGTCAAAAATCGTATTCTTGTCACTGGGAGGGCCACAAACATTGGTACACATCCTCAATAACTACTCACAATATCCAAAGCTAATGTATACTGTAATCCGATGCATAAGATCACTGTCGGTCTGCCAACAGAACAAGGCGGCACTTATCAGTCTAGGTATGTTGGTTCGTCTCCTCTTGTTGGTCTTGCTCTTGAAATGTCACTAGAAGGTCACGCTTTTTAGGATGCCTCCCTGCGTTGTACAAGGAAATGTGCACTGCGGCAGATGATCGTGTGCTGCTAGCAATTCTTGTTGCTTTGAGAAATTTGTCAGATGCAGCCACTAACGAGGACAACTTAGCGCCATTGGTAAGGCTCGTGTCGCCTCGTTTATTCTCGCAAAGTCATTCGGATTTTTTGCAGGTAATTCGCTTGCTTGAAATAGTCCGTGTCGCAGATGCAGCCCAAACTTCGTGTGCTTGCGGAATACTGAGTAATCTGACTTGTAATAATGTTCGAAATAAGCAAACGGTTAGGTTTATTGTTGTTTTCTCATTGTACTGTAGCCTCTTTACCAATGACATTGTTACAGCTGTGCACGAACCATGGTGTGGAGTCTCTAGTGGAAGCCATAAACCGCTTCCCCGATGTTGAAGAAGCTACTGAACCTGCGCTCTGTGCTTTACGTCATTGTACTGCAAGACACTCATATGCTGAGCAGGTTGGTTTATACTCTGTTCGCTGGGGACGGTTGGGCGTGTTATGAGTTGTCACGCCGTTGAAACCGTTCTCTGCCTTCTTGTTGAAGCGCGCGACAAAAAGTGGTAGAAAACGAGTAATACGAACGATATGATACAGTCATATCACTTGCTCGCTTTAACAACTGGTGGAGAACGGGTTTGGCACCGCGCCAAACTCATCCCGCCTGACACGCCCAACCGTCCGCAGCGACTACCCTATACCTCTGTCAGTTTACTGTGGCGCGCATTTTTTTTGTAAAGGCCATCTCCATTCTTTAGCGAATGTTAAGAATCGGATGTGGGAGTACAACAGCGATTCATTAGTGGGCGAGGTCAGTTGGTCCCCGTCTAGCTGTTGTCGATTCTTCGGAATCCCTTATTCTACCGATTTGCATGCTTTCTCATTGGTATTAATGAAGGCCCAGCTACATACTGTCTTTCCATATTCTTCCTTTACCACACTTTCCCCAGGTTTTTTTTCAAGACTCTCACTTTTTTTCTTTGGATCGCCGCAGAAAGGAAGGGGTATATATGGGTATAGGTCATACGTGAAACACGAAGAAATTAGGTTGGCAGACGAAAACATTTTTCTCTGAAGCATACGACCGCACTGTCTATTGCGTCCAAGTTAGACCCCCTCCCAATACAACGTGCCCTGATACGAATAATTTGTTTGTAGTCATTTCTCTGGAATCGCCAATTCTTCCAAATCGCGGATTCTGCGCATGCTGAAAGTATGAATAACCTACCCCCCCCCCCTAAAATACATTTCTGAGCAGTTGGTTCGTTTCAGGCACAACAAGATCTTCGCCTTTGTAGAAGCTTCCCAATGCTTCTCCAGCTATTGGCTACTCTACGTGCTCCAGTAATCAAGGCCGCTCTTGGAGTAATACGCAACTCTGCGCTCCTACGGGCAAATCTCATGGAGCTAACGCAGGTATCTTTGCCGTATAACCAACTTTCGTGTTGTAGTTTTTCGCGAAGAACATTGAACTCATCTGAATTTTCAAGGAGGTAACTGAAAGAGGCGAAACAGTTGTCTCTTTGACCGTGGACATTCTCGCCCACGCTGCGGCCACAATTCGTGAAGATCCGGCTGCAGAAAGTGATGGCGTGCCAATATGGGGTGTAGTTGAAGGTTAGTTCGAGAACTAGCCTCACTACCGAGTAGACTGTTTAAGGGGTTACGTTTACTCAACTACAGGTGCCGTATCCGCTTTGCACCAACTGGCATCGCATCCAGCAGTGGCAGCTCATCTGTGCGAGGATCCGGCTTTCTTAACCCTTATAGTCGAGTTTCTCTCCAGAAGCGATGTGAGTTGGAAGGCTACGTGCTCAGTTACTCAGAAGCTCCAGGATAAGAATTGGTGGTTTAAGGTTTCTGGTGCTGAAGACGAATTGCTTGAGCGTGAATTGCTTGGGCTTCTCTACCAGCTTAGTAAGACTCCCGAAGGAGCGCGTACAGTTGAAGAAGCTGGTATGGAATTTCTTAAAAGATTTGTTGTAATTGAGAGCTTTTCGAATATAGTAATTGCCCTTAAGGCGTCACACCGATCTTGGTCGAGGCCATGCGATCGGAACACAAATCCGTTGCTACTTATGCTTCTGGTGTACTGAAGAATTTGGAGAACGACAAGCCAGCACCATATAGACAGGTACGGTGGAATTGTATTGAAAATGTGCGTTTAAAGGAATTAGGTAAATAGACGAAGCGGCTAGCAGTAGGAATGAGATTGATATGAGCAACGGAAAACTAAGAGGAATAAAAACTGTTTGATTGGTGATTACACATTGCGGACCATGTGACATACACGCGCAGTCACACAGTTTCCTTTCTTCGGCGTTTTGCTTGACTTTTTTGGCATTTCTTTTGTGTACTAAA